TTGGGAAGCGGTGTACTTGAGAAGCAGCTGTGAAGATGAGAGACTTAAACCCCCTCTGGCCTGGGCAAGTATTTCTGTGAAATCGCAGCTGCTGAGATCAAGGCCTGAGAGCCTCTCGGGGGCTGAAGAATTGGAATGGAAAGCCCCACATTGGGGGCTGGCGGAGTTCCCGTCCCACATGGCTGTCCTGTGCAATGCTGCCTGTCAGAGCAGATTCCCAAGGCCACCCGCTAGCAGCCCCACACTGCCCCTCCCTGCCAGAGGGCCTGTGGGGTCCTGGGGCCACTTGACTTCTTAGCGAGGCTTTTATTTAAGAGCTGAGGGTGACTTAAGGTGGAGCAGACAGGTGAGAGAAAATGCAAAGAGGAAGTAAATGTGTGACTTTGAGAGCATCTAGGTAAGAGCAAGGCCTGACCTCTTTGGTTTTCCATAATGTGTCTTGTTTCATTTGCTTGGGTCCAAAATAAAGCCAATAATGAAACTTTTATTGAATATAAAATTCATAGGTTGGACTCTGACAAACCTGGTGTCACCATCCCTGAGGACAGGAAAAAGGCAGGACTAATTCACAGCAATTGTAAATAAAGTGTAGGAACAGGACTGATTTGCCTAGAGGTGCAGAGAAAAGCGGCTAGTGGGCCTGCCCTGAGGTAAATAAAGAAGGCTGACCAACCATTCCTGTTTGCCTGGAGCTGAGGGGTTGTCCCAGGAGACAGGCGCTTCGGTGATGAAATCTGGAAAGTCCTAGGCAGAGAAGGAAAGGTTAGTCACAGCAAACTGGAACCTTAGCTGAGTAGAGCTGCCCCCGTGCCCCAGCCCCCTCTGTGTGTGAGCTGGCATCCAGCTGCTTCTTGTGGAGCAGTTACAGACCGCCACATGTTTACTGGAGTAGCTACCAGTAGGCAACTACCAGTTACCCATCTAGGCCTCAGTTTGCTTGTATGTGAAATGGGGTTGATAGCAGCCATCACACAGGGCTTTGCAGTGTTTCGGTAAGAAGACACAAATGTGCCTGGCACAACTGTAATCACTTAAATGTTCACAGTGATATCTGTTACTCATGCAGTTTATTCAACGAATTCGTGTACATGTCAGGCACTACTCTAGACCTAAGGATTGAAGACAAAAATCCTGACCTTGTAGAGGAAGATAAACAGATATAGAACAAATATATCAAATAACCTATTCCAGGAGAAGACCTATAGAGGGAAACAGTTGAGCAGGACAAGGATCCCATGTGCTGGGACAGAGACGTCCACGTAAAATACATTGGTCAAGGTGGGCCTCATGTGGCAGGTGGCGTTTGTCCGCAGACCTGAAGGAAGTGAAAGGACAAGCCGTAACTAGTGAAGGGAAATCTGAGAAAGAAAACAACACGTGCAGGGACCCTGACATAGAAATACGTCTGGCACGCAGAGAGTGGCCGAAAAGCCAGCTTGGCGGGATCTCGGCCATCAAGGCAGAAATAGTAGCACTTAACAGGTGGGAAACTGGGTGCTCACAAAGGCCATCATAAACTTACTCAGTTTCATTCCACGTAAAAGGGCAGATGAGTGTCATGGATTGGGTTGAGAGCGATTGTTCTGGAAACGGGATAGACTGAGAACAGAAAGGTAAGGGTGGAAGCGGGAGGCTAGTGGGGTAGTCGCCGTAGTCCAGCTGAGAGATGACCAGGGCTTAGACCAGGATGGGAGCAGTGGAAAATGAGAAGTGAGGGGAATCTGGATATATTTCGAAGGTAGAGATGATAAATTTTCTGATTAAATGGGTATTGTAGATAAGAGAGAGAAAGAGGAGTCAAGGATGATTACGAGGCATTAATATGAGAACAGAGTGGGGCAGGGTTACCTCGGTGGAAGTGAAAGTGTTAGTCGCTCAGTCGTGTCCAACTCTGCGACCCCATGGACTGTAGCCCGCCAGGCTCCTCTGTCCATGTGATTCTCCAGGCCAGAATACTGGAGTGGATAGCCATTCTCTTCTCCAGGGGATCTTCCCAAGCCAGGGATTGAACCCAGGTCTCCTGCATCACAGACAGATTCTTTAGCATCTAAGCCACCAGGGAAGCACTTTTAGCTAGACTGGTGTTGAGGTTCTCATTTTGGCCTTCACTGGGCTATTGGCATGTGGTAACCTCCTGTATCTGATGTCTTGATTTGCCCTCATAGTCGTCTAGTCACCCTTATTACCAAGGGAATAGCATCTCCCTTTACGTTGTAAATTCTGCTTTCTCAAGAAACATCCCAGGTCGATTAACAAGTTATTGGAACTCCTGTTTCTCAAGAGCAGGCCAGCCATCCAGCACAGCAGTTCCAAGTTGGCACAGATGTGTTATCTCAGGTCCCTGGGAGAAACACCCCGCACGGCCCTGTTCCCTAGCAACTCCGCCTCTGCCCGCCTGGGGATCGAGATGCCCTGCCCAGGAACACTCCTTTCCCAGGCTCTGGCGTTTCTTGCCTGCTGAGAACCGACTTCTCAGAGTGGTGGGGGCAGGGGGCCTCTGGCAAGCAGCCCGTGTTGCTTCTAGTGCTTTGGCCAATCCCCCCACCCCACCCCGTTCCCCTGCAGAGCTCTGCTGTGCCTCTCAGCTCTCTAGCCGGGATCATGCTCTTGGCCCCAAGGAGGCAGGAGGCCCTGGATAAGAGCATCAGGTGTCACTTCCCGAACCAGCTTCCTGCTTCTCTCTCCTGAGCGCTAGCAAGTGGAAGGAAGTAGTCTCCAGTCCCCACTCCACAATCACGGGTGCCAGTTCACACCCCTGCTTCATCTCCAGGCAGGGTCCCCAGGTAGACTTCAATACCTCTCCAGAGCGGTTTTTGTCTTTAGGGTAGAGGAATGGACCCTGCAAACACTACTCCCTTGGGTACAGATTTTCCCATTTTCAAGATCGCTGTCTGAATGTCTTCCTTCGTTCTAACCCACATCTCTTTCTTTGCCATTTAAAGTAACGCCCTTGGGTCCTGTTTAGTGGAGATAGAAGTCTGCCCCCCGCTGTGCCCCCCTTCCCCCACCGGTGGACTAGCCCTTCAGTGTGGAGAGGTGTGAGGTCCTTGGCATCAGTAGCCCATCCTTTCCTTGCAGCTTCCAGTCATCTGCTAGTCCTGTGCCTCTGGATAAAGCTGTGTTAAGTGTCCCCATCCTCTTGATTCTAACCCTCCTCACTGCTGATCGTTTTCCAAGACAAAGGTTGCCTCACCTTGCCTGTGGGGAGCCCATCAAGCAGTATAGCCAACAACCAGTGCCAAACCATGGCTATTTGCTAATCAAGTTGTGTAAGCAACTTGATAAAATGCCACATGGCATTAATTTAAATTACATGCGTTCTCCTCTTTCCTTAAAGTGTAACCCCTCCTGGGGCCCATGAGAAGAGCCTAGGACTCTGGGAATAATTCTGCCTCTTATTCCCTCTGGGAACATGCATGGACTCTGTGTGCACACTCACACAGGTATGTAAGCACATGTGTGTTAGCGCAGAGCGTGCTGATGATCACGGACTGAGTACTGTCTGACTCAGTGCTTCCACCTTCATGTTCTCTCTCTATTCACTCTGAACGACAGTGCTTCTCCTAGTGCTTTGTCTAAGCAGTACTCGTAGCACTTAGTACGTCTCTAAGTACGTACTTCTTAGTAGGACAGTAGCACCTCTTAAAGATGTGTGTGTCTATGTGTGTGTGTCTCTGTGTGTGACGGAATGGGACGGCTCTGGGTGCTTAAAGGGGATACCCAAAGTTGGAGTCTCATGAAGTCTGTATTCTGTTGATGTCCTGAAACCTCTGGAACTTGGAATCAGGACAACTGGTTGGGCTCTGTCTCCTAGCCTCCTAGCATGACCTTGAGCAAATAGCTTATTCATTATGACCTTTTTGTGTGAGCCAGTAGGTAGAAGCCACCTCTGCTTTTAAATCATGGCCAGCATTTACATGTTAATATAAGAGGAAAATTCTGTGTCTCAGGAAACATTTTAATGTACTCTTAGAGCTGAAGCCTGATGCAAACTCAGTGAGGAAGAGATGAAGTTGTAGGTCTGGGTTAGCTTACCCTGGAGACCAAGAGAAGTGAGTGGCCCCTGTGACCAGATTGTCTTGGTTTGCCCCCATTTCACACCTGCTGAATCTGGGAAAATGGGGGTGGTTGGTCACCCTAATTGGATCTCATATTTGGGCAGATTGGGAAGCAAGGGATCCTTTTTAAAGGACTCTTTTAACTGCCTTCCTCTGTCATTCAGCTCTTCCACTTTTTTCTTGCTCACTCACTCCACTCTTGTCTCTTTTTCAGGCCTATCTGGGAACCCTGCAGATCTGGAGAAACGTAAACAAGTATTTGGACAAAACTTGATTCCCCCCAAAAAGCCCAAGACCTTCTTAGAGTTAGTGTGGGAAGCCCTTCAGGACGTCACGCTCATCATCCTGGAGATCGCGGCCATCATCTCCCTGGTCCTGTCCTTCTACCGCCCCCCGGGGGGAGAAAATGAACGTGAGTGCCTTGAACAAACGAGCGTGACTCTGGTCTGGGTTCTTTCCACTGTCACTGAAAAGCACGTAGTATTTGTTGACAAATTTTATTAGGTTGGTGCAAATATAATTGCAGTTTCAGACCATGAATTTTAAAACATAACTAGTTTTAATAGGAACTATTACAATGAACACATTTGTGCCAATGAGAAATGTTTGTTTATTCCTGTAGTGTAAAAATCCGTGTTTCAGGATCCGACAAACTCTTGGAAAGCATTTTGCTGCATCCTTCGGGCTGTGGAAGCATTTTCTCTGCAAAATGTTGTTGAGATGCTTGAAAAAGTAGTCAGTTGGTGAGAGGTCAGCTGATTATAGGCTTCCCTGGTGGCTCAGATGGTAAAGAGTCTTCCTGCAATGCAGGAGACCCTGGTTCGATCCCTGGGACAGGAAGATGCCCTGGAGAAGGAAATGGCAACCCACTCCAGTATTCTTGCCTGGAAGAGCCTGGGGAGCTAGTCCATGGGGTCACAAAGAGCTGGACATGACTGAGCTTTGAACTTTGAACAGGTGAATATGGTGGATGAGGCAAAACTTTGTAGCCCAATTTGTTCAGTTTTTGCAGTGTTGCTTGTGCGACCTGCAGTTGGGTGTTGCTGTGGAGAAGAACTGGGCCCCTTCTGTTGACCGGTGCCAGCTGCAGGTGTGGGAGTTTCCTGTGCATCGTGTTGATTTGCTGAGCATACTTCTCAGATGTAATGGTTTCGTCAGGATTTGGAAAAGTTTAGTGGATCAGACCGGCAGCAGACCGCCAGACAGCGGCTGTGGCCCTTTTTTGGTGCAAGCCTGGCTTTGAGAAATACTTTGGGACTTCTTCTCAGTCCAATCACTGAGCTGGCCATCGCTGGTTATTGTGTAAAATCCACTTTTCGTCGCACATCCCAATCCAATCGAGAAATGGTTCGTTGTTGTTTTGTGGAATGAGAGAAGATGACACTTCAGAATGACAGGTTTTGGATTTTCAGTCAGCTCACGAGGCTCCCACTTAGCGTGCTTTTTCACCTTTTTAATTTGCTTCACATGCCAGACGACCGTGGGATGGTCAATGTTAAGTTCTTCGGCAACTTATTTACTTGTAAGAGGATTGGCTTCAGTGATGGCTCTCAGTTGGTCATTGTCAGCTTCTGGTGGCCAGCCACTACATTCCTCATCCTCAAGGTTCTCATTTCCCTCTTGAACCACCACTGCCCTGCATGTTCATTAGCAGTTCCTGTACCAAATGTTGTTGATGTAGCAAGTCGTCTCCACTGCTTTACGACCCATTTTGAACTCAAATAAGAAAATCGCTCAAATTTCCTTCTTGTCTAACATCATTTCCATAGTCTAAATATAAAATAAACAGCAAGAAATATCATTAGCAAAAAAGCATAAAGCAAGAAATGCACATTAAAATGATATGTAACATAACCACATTTATTAAGAACGTATTCCAGTAGCAAATGGCAAATTTCAACAATGCAAAAGCTGCAATTACTTTTGCACCAACCTAATAGCTTAAGTGTTGTGTGTGCGCCCCCCCCCACCCCGTTATCTGAGTGGGTTCTCCAAAGGAAACTAAAAAGTAACTAGTAAGCTATTCTTCCAACTCATCCTGATTCCAGGGTCTTCCCCCACTTTCCCAGTAAATCCTTATTCAGAATGTTATGAATCCTCTACCCTCATAAACCAACAAGGCCGTACACCTCAAAGATCCCCCGTCCCCCAAGCTGGGTGGGCATCTCAGGAAATAGCAGTGGGAACTACCATGCTGGGGGTCATAAGGTTTCTATATGTGTCTTGCCTATAGTTTTCATTGACATGCTTCATGCTATTTAGTCATATGCCCTTTTTGGGTAAACATAAATAGTTATATTGGTGATGAGATGATGCCCAATCCTGCCATCCTCTGGTATCCTCAGGATGGCTATTTTACCCAGGTTTTCTGTTCTCCTCTTCCCCTGGCTTTCTGTTCTGGGGAGTTACAGAAGCAGAACCCCCATTTTTAACACCAGCAAAGGCCCCTTGGTGACCCTTTTCTCTCCTTGCCCTGGGCTAGAGTGTGGTCTAGCCGTCAGCAGCCCAGAGGACGAAGGGGAGGCGGAAGCTGGCTGGATTGAAGGCGCAGCCATCTTATTCTCGGTGATTATCGTCGTGCTCGTGACTGCCTTCAATGACTGGAGCAAGGAGAAGCAATTCCGGGGGCTGCAGAACCGCATCGAAAAGGAGCAGAAATTCTCCGTTATCCGGAATGGCCACATCATCCAGCTCCCTGTGGCTGAGATTGTGGTGGGTGACATTGCCCAAATCAAATACGGTGAGACCTCTGTGGTTCTTTTCTCTTTTAGCTCTGTTTTTTACACCTGTGCCACCCTTCCTATCGGAGGGCTAGGTCCTTTGGCATAAGGGGGCTGGGAATTGCTGAGGACCCAAAAAGATAAGACCCCAAACTGTGTTAGGTTCTAGGTTAGAGTTTAAGGAGGTTATGGAAAAGAAATTCAAAGAAAGCAGTAACTGAAACTGCCAAAGACTGTCAGACTGTACCCTGTGTGTCTTAGATTACAAGTATGTAATATTCAGGCCATGGGAAGGTGTTTGGGGATCAGTGACCGTTTGAATTTATAATACCCAGAGCAGAGTTTTATCGCAAGTTGTCAGACCTGAAGTTGTCTTTCAGAGGTTCTCCAGTCTCTCCCGGGCCATTGCTTACAGGTGGGGCCCCAGGAGCAGCCCTGAGATGAAGCTGGATGGTCCTCACCTGCCCTCTTCCTGTCGCCTCTTCACCTCCGTGTATTAGGTGACCTGCTGCCTGCAGATGGGATCCTGATCCAGGGCAACGATCTCAAGATTGACGAGAGTTCTCTGACTGGGGAGTCGGACCATGTCAAGAAATCCTTGGAAAGGGACCCCATGCTGCTCTCAGGTGAGGCCTCTGACTACACCGGCTCCCTGTCTACCTCCCCGCAGACACTCGGCCACAGAGACTGTGTCCAGACCTTGCCCTGTCTTCCGATCGTGCCCTGTCTCTTGCCCCAAGGCTCAGCGGGGGCTATAGCGTGTCAGTGGGTTGAATACAAGCATATTGAGCAACCTAACAGAGGTTGTCCATGAAGCAGATGCTGCAGGAGCCTTCGAAGGGCTCTGCTGGCTGGGGTGGGTGGTGGGAAAGGAGCCTTACCCCAAAGCCGTTAGACACATTGTTCTCCTTACCCACCGGGTTGCTTGCTCTTGATCTTTTCCTACTATCTGCCGAGTATAACACTATGCATGGGAGAGGAAGGAAGAGGGACTGCATTTTTCCAAGTTTATGTTTCACACCAAAGAATGGCCAGGTGTTAAAAAAAAAACAAAATGAAAAAACTCTTCTCCCGTCTTCTTTCTCATATAGGGACCCATGTAATGGAAGGTTCTGGACGAATGGTAGTGACTGCTGTGGGTATCAACTCTCAGACTGGAATCATTTTTACCCTCTTGGGAGCCAGTGAAGGGGAAGAGGAAGAGAAGAAAAAGAAAGGTAAGGGGCTTTCAGAAGAGCCTCCCCACTCCCATCCACATGGACAGACTAAGAGAGGGAGCGGGTCTGGAGTGGAACACCTGGTTGGCAAACTCTGCAGGATGATGAGGAAAGATCTCCAAACCCCTTGTTTAGCTAAAGGTTTCATCCCTGACTCCCCACGGTGCTCTAACGAAAATCGGATCTGGCTCTGCACTCCGTGGTCAGGTTGCACTGGTTCCTGCATTTACTGGTGGACTGTAAGAGAACGAGGTAGAAGGCCTGCGCAAACAGGCTGGCAGTGTGCTCAGGCTCCAATCCTCGCCCCTTTCTTCCTCAGACACGGGGGGTTATATGAACCATCAAGGCTAAGGGAAAACTATCCAGGAGAAGAAACTGGTTTCCTGCTAAAACTGTGAGCAGGAAGAGAGATACAGCCAGAAGGGTGGGGACAGAGAGGGAATGTCTGCCTCGAAGTTAGCCCTGTCTTTGCCATTCATTTGTTCCTGAAAGCGAGAACAAAAGAGAAGTGAAAAGCAAAGGAGAAAAGGAAAGGTATGCCCATTTGAATGCAGAGTTCCAAAGAATAGTAAGGAGAGGTAAGAAAGCCTTCCTCAGCGATCAATGCAAAGAAATTGAGGGAAACAACAGAATGGGAAAGACTAGAGATCTCTTCAAGAAAATGAGAGATACCAAGGGAACATTTCATGCAAAGATGGGTTTGATAAAGGACAGAAATGGTATGGACCTAACAGAAGCAGAAGATATTAAGAAGAGGTGGCAAGAATACACAGAAGAACTGTACAAAAAAGATCTTTGTGACCCAGATAATCACGATGGTGTGATCACTCACCTAGAGCCAGACATCCTGGAATGTGAAGTCAAGTGGGCCTTAGGAAGCATCACTACGAACAAAGC